ATAATAATCATAGATGTTCCCCTTCTTTACTTAAGACACAGTCAGACACAGACCCTCCAAATTTTCATTCTTTGATTCATAGATAATTATCTGAGATATTTTTTCTCTATTGACCAATCAGGACAAAATACTCCTTATTTGACAAACTTAAGTTTCTCCCCTTCTTCCAGGTTCACAAACTGTGACCCATCCTCAGCCTGAGTTCTGTAAGAGCACATCCCAAGAATCAGCTGATTGCAAGTAAAGATATTCCTCAACCAATTATCCTATCATAACACCCAGTCATCCCACTTCCCCTCACCAGGATTCTTATAGTTTTGTTTACCTTTCCCTATAAAAGAAAACCCCTTTTGTCCACCACCTTTGAGATAACTTGCAGATCTTCTGGTCAGAGTATTCTCTCTATTGCAGTGGTCCCTCTCACCTTATTGTAATCATCCATTTCCCACTCTTGCAACAGTCTTCAAATAAACCCTCCTTATCTAAGTCTGGACTTGTTTTTATTTGATGCTAGGAAAATAACAATATTACAAAACACATACATTTGTACATACATACATATATACAGAGGAATAAAGGGTTTTGTTATTTATAGGATAGTGAAGAACTAGCCTAAGCAGAGCAAAACAGTATATTTTGCAGAATAGAGGGAAATATTGTGTGAACAGCCTGGAATAACCTGACTTTGATTCATTATTAAGCTGAATAATCATAACCAACAGCTGTAGTAAAGACACTGTCATCTCTAATGTATTGAGTGTTTACACTGTGCCAAGTGAATTATGTGCTTACGAAGAGTGGCAGAATATGCCACCCCAAAATATGCCACTTTGACATAAGGATTAATTCAAGCTAATAGCACTTGAAAAACACCAGATGCAAGAAGAACATGCTAATTTCCCCTTTTCTTCCTGAAAACAGGGAAAAAAACACTCTTGTGTGAATGATGTCCGCCCTGTACCAAGAGAAAAGAAACACTGTTCAATGGGGAGTCAGAGTCAAGATTATTATGTACAAACCTTAAAATAATTCTTATCATTATTTAGCCTCCTCATACAATTCAGTTACTCTTCCACCATAGCTTCTCTTTTTTCAACCTAATACAAAAGTGCATAGGTTTTGCAGTTTCTTTGGGTCTTCATTTCCTTATGAGTGTTCCCGTGTCAAGTAAAACTTATATGAAATGTGCGTACTTTTCTTCTATTAATTTATCTTGTGTCAATTTGATTCTTGGGCCCAGCTAGGACACTAGAGGGTAAAGGTGAAGTTTTGCCTCTCCTACACTTACCTTCTTTAAACCTAACATGAGCCCTGTTAATTAGAGATCATTTACTATAGACTGAATTGTTTCTGCACCAAATCCAAATTTTGAAGCCCTAACTCCTAATGTGACTGTATTTGAAGATAGAGCCAATAAAGAGATAATAAAGATTAAGTGAGATCATAAGGGAAGGGCCTGTAGGACTGGTGTCCTTACAAGAAGAGGAAGAGATGACAGAGACCTCTCTCTCCTTCTGCATTCTTACAGTGGAAGTAAATGAGAGGACACAATGAGAGAAGTTGGCTGTGTGCAAGCCAGGCAAATTAGTTTCACCAGAAACCACTCTGATGGCATCTTGATCTGGTACTTTTGGCCTCCAGAACTGTGAGAAAATAAATTTCTGTTGTTTAAGCTACCCCTTCAGTGGCATTTTGTTGTGGCAGCCTGAGCTGACTAATAAACTGGCATTATCCATATTTTTTAAATGCAGAAATTGGAGCATAAAGAGTAAGTCCTTTAGCTGGTAAATACAGATCTGATATTCAAACTGTCTGATGGCAAACAAAGGCTGGTCTTTGAACCACTCTGCTGATCTCCTATCAATGAGTGGGAGCTGCCAGCAGTGCTAGTGAGATTTCACTGGAAGAGATCAAGCAAAAACCGACCAACAACTTAACAAAACATGTCAAGTCTCAGAAAGGTATATAGATAAGGTTAACCTAGAGTGCTTTAACTCCGGATTATTTGCTCCTATAACCCAGATCAGGGTGACTAGATATAGGACAGCGTGATGATGATAGAAATACAGATACAGGGAGAAAAAATGCTGTATGTCAAAAACACTTTTAATTTTAAAGCAATGAAAGGAACTCACTGGAAAACATTCAATAATATTTCGGTGAAAAGTTACCATACTTATCCATGTTGTCTCAGGCCACAGAATCAGTCATGCCTTTATTTTAATACAATTCCATAGCATTTTCAATACATACCTATTGGTTAATTGTTTCTACTAAGTTGGGTTCCATTTGCTTTTTTTCACATAATACTGTATTGCAGACAGTATTCCAGGGTATTATGTTCAAATCTACCAGGTATATTGATAGCTGTTTTCTCATATTGTATTTATTGTATTATGTGCTATAGTTTACTTAATCTGAGCACTATCATTGGACCTTTAGACTATTTTAAATTTTTCTTTTTTATAACTTATAAAGAAAAATTCTAGCCTTTAAAAAACAAAGTGCCTTTGAAAAATGTATGCATAACTCCATGCATATGTTTGTGCAATTCTTATAAGATTTTTTTCTAAGATTCTGAGGTATTAACTTTCTAGGTTCAAGTGTTAGGCATATTTTAAATTGACATAGAAATTGCCAAATTACTGTTTAAAAAGGGATAAGCTTTGTTGCTCATTAACAAGAAATGAAGTGCCCATAATCTTTGGCAACAGTAAATTTAATCAACTCTTTACATTTTTATTTTCCCTCTGTCTGTAATAACAAAAATATGATTTGTAAGAACATGTAATTGAAATAACAAACCTGCTCTGTATTAGAACTACTTAATTGACCTTGTTTATATAAAGGTGTAGGGGCATGAAGTGAAAACTAAAAGTATCCTGAGCCTAGTCTCAGAATTAATCCCTGCTAATGGTTTTTACACTCCTTGTGTAATGATTAGTGTTCTGCTTTTTTTATTTACAATATCCTGGATATCCCTTAGTATTATTAGCACACTATTTTAAAAAGTTAAGGAGTATTTAACTGAATATATTTATAATATTGCATTCAACCAGCTTCATACTGGTAAATATTAAAGTGTTTGCTATTTTTATAAAACCATAGTAAACACTCTTGTATATAACATCTTTTTTGAGTATAGCTAGAAGAATGAGAGATTTTAAATGAGTGAAAAAAACTGACTCAGTGATTATAAACATAGTTTTGCATAAAAAGGTGCAACAATTAGACCACATAAATCTGATGTTAGAGAATAATTAAAAGGAAAGAGATGGAAAACTTTGGTGCATGGTACCTTCAAACTAGCATTTAGTTTGCTAAATGGTAATATGCTAAAAAATGTATAATCATAATTTTTCATGAAACCAAGATTTTAATGTAACAAAAATTTTTGCTCCATGTTAAGAACGATGTTAATCAAACTCATGAAGGAAAAAAATGTGCTTATGCAGAAATTCATATTGGAAGATATGACAGCCACTCAGACCAAAAAGCATTTTCCCATAGAGCATCCAAGAGATTGAGATACTGAGGGGTTTGCCCTGGATCACACGCATCCTTGGTGGTAAAGCAGATTAATTTTTTGGTGAAAAATTATGTGGTACAGCCTAATTTTGTTATATGTATAGCTTGCTGAGCAGTCACGTCAAGGCTTTAAGGTATCCATCACCTGAATAATACACATTGTACCCAGTAATTTGTTATCATCCATCCTCTTCCACTCTAGTCTCCATTCCCCTTGCTAGTCTCCATTTTTTACTATTATCATTCCACTCTCTAAATTTGAATCCAGGCTGATCAATCCCAGAATCTTCCCTCTTTGGTACTGTACTATACTATGCTATACTATACTATACCGAAGAGGAAAGATTGCCAAAATCAAGGTAGACAATATTCTTAGAAAGCGTGATGTTCTGTCTGAAAATGTTACCAACACAAGAATACAAGCATTGGGGATAAGGCAGATGCCCAGGCGTGAGAAGCTAAAGGATCTTTTCTAGTCAGTCTTGTAGTAACGTGTTTCGAAGTGGAATTCTAGAGAACTGCACCTGCATATGGACGTCAAGGTACCTGTGAAAATATAAATGTTACATTTATTGAATATAAGCAAGGCCTTGAAAGCACTATTCTGATCTGTAGAATCATTAGCATTATAAAATTTCAATAAATGTAAGAATAAAATATTGGAGGTAAAATTGCACAAGCAACATTGGTCATATTTCAGACACTAAATAGATATTTATTGAAATGTTGTTTTATTATTTTATAAGGTTGTACACATTTCATAACACACTATGCTAGAAGTAGCATTTTAAAACATTTTATTAATTCACAGGAAAATACAAAATTTCCAAGATTTTCACATTAAATAACAGTAAATAGAAACATGAAATTTATTTATCTCATAACTATTGCTAGACCATAAATGAATTAGAATCTTTAAATGTTGCCCTTGTTGAGAAAACTAAACCAGACTAAACAAAAATCACTGAATAATGCATTTATTTATCTCAATATGTGTAAAGTCCTAAGCAATTAAAAAAGTATCCAACCACCAAGTTCTGAATTAATGTGCTTCCAGCTCTTCACTATATGTTAGACATGTATTTTATTTAATAGAGATTATAACACTTACTGACTTCAAGTTTGGCTGAGTTTCATTAATGGAGGAGAGAAGAAATACCATAACCCATTATTGTGTGTCTATTTCAATGGAAGAATGTACTTTACACCACTGAACAAATAGAAATATGACTTGGTGTTTATATATGTTTTGTAGTCAATTAGAGAAATAATCATCTCATTTTAATGAAATGTAATTTTGACCATCCAGTCCCACAAATGAGTTCATAGTATAATGTCAGACATTCTTGTTTTGCAAATAAATTTATCACACAATTCCTTTAAAGAAATGTGCTATCTAATGCATTTTAAACACTTTTTTCAGGCACATTAAAAAGTAAGCACAGTTGAATTCTGAGGCATTTGAAAGCAAATTATAGTATTAATATAATGGTCTTTATTATATAGGTATATCAAACTGATTCTACAAACCACCAGTCAAGAATAAGATTTTCATAAGCACGTAAAGGGAAATTTATAATTTCCAGAGGGAAAAAAAAAGTGAATACTTCCGCCTCCTGTGGAATAATCAGAAAGAAAGGAAGGTTTCTCCATGGGGTAATTCCCAATATTGTTCTGGATCCAGAAACTATACAATTTAATTACAAGAAATACGATATATTTTAGGTCAACCAAAGTTTGGTGAACTACTAAGAAGCATATACTGCATTTCACAGTGGTTAAGAACACAGATTTCAGTCTGTGTGAAGTGGGATCATATATTTAATCAGCTGTGAGACTTCAGCAAATTCCTGAGAATTCAGTTCCTTCATAATTTTGCTTTAGTTTCCTCATCTGTAAAACATAGATTAATACTAATATTAATAAAAATTCCTTGGTAACATTAGAAGATTGTAGATTACCTTATGCAAATCACCTGGAATAGTGTCTAGAACATAGTAGGTGGTATGTAAAGATCAGCTGTTGATATGAGTGTTGTTGAACTATATAAAGAAAGATTTTTCTGTTTAACAAGCTCATCATCTAGCATGCATTAGTCTAGCCTAGAGAGTACCCAGGAGAAGTATCATTGTGGTGTGTTAAGTATTAAAATTGAGTAGCTTCAAAGTGTCTCGTATGTTGTTTTACAGGTAGGACGCTAGACATCATCAAAGATATAATTTAATAGTTATAAACCTCCTGGTAAATATACTTGCCTGTGATAAGATATCTGTGTCAAGATTATTTGCCCTTTAGCATTTTCTTAGACTGAGATATAATTGAATTTTCCCTTTAAAAGTCTTTGGAGAGCTCCACATAGAAAAGCACTAGTAGAATGTATAGCATCAGCAGCTACCAATTGCTATACAGCAAATTTAAGAGCTAAGCACATCAGAGATTGATACAGTCTATTGCCTACAAATATTAAGACATTATGTAATTATTGATGCTACTCATCTATGGTTTTCTCTAGTCTAGAAAATACCAATGCCTTAATATTTAATGTTGGAGACAATACTTATGAAAAACAAACAATCTATATGATATTTTCTAATTTTTATTTTTAAGGCCACAGCTGTGTCAAACATAGACTAATCATAAGGCTTGCCAAGCCTTTTAACTTTATAGGGAAGTTGGTTGGATATTTAGGAGTGGGCTGGCCCCTACATTAGTATAATTGTATAAGTGTCTCTGCAATTGCTTTTAAGCTTTTTCCCCCAGGAAAAACTGGAAAATATATATTATTATTACTATTAATTAAAATACATAACTGACAATGTATAGTATTATCCAGGATTCTTAGGAGACCACTTTAGCTATAGGGTAAATTTTTAAATCTCAGATTAAAAGTTGATAAATTAATAAAACACATGTGCTATGTGCTATTTTGGTCAAGTATTCTTTTTCTTTCTTTTCTTTTTTTTTTTTTTTAGAGAGAGTCTTGCTCTGTTGTCCAGGCTGGAATGCAGTGGTGCAATCTCAGCTCACTGCAAACTCTGCCTTCTGGGTTCCAGTGATCCTCCAACCTCATCCTCCCAAGTAGCTAGGATTGATTACAGGCTCACCAACACACCCGGCTAATTTTTGTATTTTTAGTACAGACGGGGTTTCACCATGTTGGCCAGGCTGGTCTTGAACTACTGACCTCAAGTGATCAGTCCACCTTGGCCTCTCAAAATGTTGGGATTAGAGGCATGAGCCACCATACCCAGTCAAGTATTCTCTTTCTAAATCCTAAACAATAAAACCATTAAAAAAAAAACCCTCAATTATTTATGTTTTCCTTTAAGCTGTAGCATTCTTCCTCTGATAATACAACTGATTCAAACTCTGGTCATCACCCTCTTACAACAATCAAGACTGCCCCTAGAGATTTAAGATTTTTCAGTCCTTGAAGGAGGTCTGTGTGTACAATATAGAGCAAATATCTATATCCATGTACATCATGAAATTGCAATTAAAGCCAGAATTATGCCCTAGAAATCTAGTCAGCAAGGATCTAAGCCATATCTTTTGGCAAATATAAAACAGGTAACTTAAAACACATAATGAATCATGATACACAAGCTAGGAAATGACTCAAGAAGCACAAAGATGTGGGACCCTACACTGAAGAGGGAGTCTACATTAAAGAGGCCACACAAAATTTGACTGAAGTTGTAAGAGATGCCTAATGAAGAGCAGGTTCTCAGATTGCTGAGGAGTAACTATTCATGGACCAATAAAAGGAAGAGATAAACAGTAAATGAGAGAAAACTCTAGAAGAAAACTATATTCTCTGTTTACTTTTCCCCTGGTCTATATGCAAATATCAACAAAGTGAAGAGTCTCTGTACTTTAGAATTCTTAGAGCTAGATTTGTTTCCTAATTAATAACAATGTGAAAACTTCTCAATTAAAAATTATATGGTACACAGAAATGGAGGCTCAAGAATTGCATTATCTTTATTCTGAGATGAACGTCATCTCACTATCATGCAGAGGGAGATGGCTCCAGGTGGCCTCGGAGACATCAGGTTTAGCAAGATTCCATGTCTCTCATAAGAGCTATGAAAAATCATAGTGTTCTCAAATGAAAACTCAATAATAAGTAAAATTAATTTTCCTCATGCGGGAAGTTGAAATTTTTCTGTTTCTTCTTTATGCAATCTAAAGCCAAATAAATCTAAATTCAGTAGGAGTTTGTGTGAGTGTGTATGTGTAATTACATAATTTTAGATCTAAGATGTGTTTTTTTGGTCTTTTTGTGTTTTTCTAAATATCATGTCTAGATATATTTCTACAGACCCCAAATTCACAGTTAATTATACATAATTGTATACAATTCTCTATTCCTTTTTACTTAAAGGATGATAGACCAAAATGATAACATTCTTGAAAGTCAAGAGAGCTATGTGTTCCTCCTTATTTGTTTAATTTTCTGAATACCATCTTTATTATTTATACATACATTACACTGATTGAGCACTAACTCAATTTGCCAGCTACTCTATAAAATGCTTTGGAAATGTGTCGTTTACTTTTCGTGATAATTCTAAGAGTTCTGTACTATCATTACATCCAGTTTTCAAGCAGGAAAACTGAGATTAAGTAACTTGCTTAGGAACATGTCACATAGACAGTAATTGATGATAGGCAGTTGACATCAGAGGTCACATGCTTAACCAATATGAGATTTTGCACTCTTGAAACATAAAAGAAAGTCCTTGCTATGCAGGCTTCCTGTATTCTGGCACCTTAATGCCTGAATTCAAATAGATTCTTCAATTTATGTCCATTTTAATTCTCATAATGAGTCTATAAATTAGGTATTATTTTACCATATGATTATACAGATAGATAAATGAGGCTTAGAGAAGTTAAATAACTAATGTGACTAAAAGAACATGGCTAGTAATTGGAAAAGCCAGTGTTGACACGAATGTTTTGACTCTAAAGCCTATGCTCTTTGTAATATATTGCACCATCAGTCATTTCACTTTTATTAATCATTCAAACAATGTTGCATGATAGTCCTATTATCTACATTCTTATAAGCAATGGAACAGGTTAAGTGTTGCATCTGAGTTCACGTAGGTATTAAGTAGCAAACATGGGTTCTAGGCCAGTCTGTTTGACTCTGAAGTTCATTCCTTGTGATAATCCTTTGTTACTGAGACATTCTTTTGATCAAGCTACCCCTCATTTTCATATTTTTGTTTATTGATTTAACTTTTGCTATATGATCCTGTTTGCAGGTAAATGCATCTTAAACATAAACTTGACCATTTTACAGTAGTCATTTGTTTTCCTAATCCTGATTCAGGTGATACTTGAAAAACATAAATGACTTAGAAAGGCAATAGCCAAAAACAATGATATTACTATATAATATTTATAAAATATATTTCACTGGAAATGAGTGTACACTATTTGGAATGTTTTAAGTGAGTCAAGATTTTATTTGAATAACATAAATATTGTATTTTATTTATTTAAATAATTCTTCATTCTACCAAGGAATTATTTAAGGAGTCTCTGGAGTGCTATTTCTTATATGTTAATAAATGATTTCTGGAATATATCTTTTTTCACAAATAAATTCAGTGACTATACAAGCTATTTTTAATTTAGAGATTGTATTATTCATGATATTAGCAGCAAACAGATGGCACACTCACATTAGGATCTTTTGAGGAAAACTTATTTGCAAACAACTAATTACAAAGCATGGGAAGGGTGTGGGAAAATCACAAGGACTAGAGCGTAAATCTGAAGCTGTCATTAGCCCTAGGCCTCAATGAATAAATGAACAGAGAGTTTGCTGGAATGAAGAAGGATTAAGAGTTGCATAGATTCAATACTATTTTTTATCCAACTACCAATAACATTCTTCACAGAATTAGCCCATCAATGACAGATTGTATAAAGAAAACATGGTTCATATATACTATGGATTACTACGTAACCACGAAAAAGAATAAGATCATCTCCTTGTGGGATCATGGATGGAGCTGCAGGCAATTATCTTTGGCAAAGTAATGCAGGAACAGAAAATCAAATATTGCATGTTCTCACTTTTAAGTGGGAGCTGAATGATGAGAACTCATGGACATAAATTGGTGAACAACAGACACTTAAGTTGGAGGGTGAAAGGAAGGAGAGAATTAGAAAAAAAAATAACTATTGGATTCTAGACTTAGTTCTTGGGTGACAAAATAATCCATACAACAAGCCCCTATGACACAAGTTTACCTACATAACAAACCTGTACATTTATCCTGAGCACATGAGCATTTACTAAGATGGTGCCATTTTGTTTAATCCATCTTCCTGGAAATCATGTTGCTGAATCCCAGTCCTGATCCCTACTTTTTTGCTTAAATACTGTTTTAAAAGAGTGATCCCCTCACTGTTCTCTATGCACATATCTAGTGTGAAACTTAAGAAAGGGGTGAAGTTACTCCATAAAGGATATTAGTCCTGGTGTTCATGTTTGTGTATGTGGTAACTTACATATAAAGAAAAGGCACCTCTCTTAGCTTTATTCTGAGTGCCTCTTTGTTAGTTCTGTCTCGAGTCTATGCTCCTCACAAATAGCCCAGCATCACTGGGGCATCCATATTAATCAGCTATGATAGAATAACTGCTCAAATAAGATTTTAGGGCAGGCAACTTTGTACCTGGGATCTGTTCATCTGTTTACATGGATTGGAATCTGAAATACTTCACCAAGTCTCTCAATGTCAGTTCCATTCCTTACCCTATTATATATGATTTAATTCATGCATTGAACTAAATGGTCATGTTATATAATGACCATAAATCTGGCAGTGATCGCTGTCTAGATCAGGGGAATCCACACAGACTCCGCT